CCTTCTTATTAATAATTCACAAAGAAACATTTTACCTTTGTTTAGAATAGAAAATGCATTTTATACCAAGACCCAATACACACACCAACCCTAAATTTAACAAAACTGCACTCTTAATATAAAACACTGGTGTTTCTGCTCTGTTTAATTTTTTAAAATTCTGGTTGTGACCTACAAAAATAAGAAAGTAGGGGTCATGATATTGTACAGTTTTAGAATGAAATGTGTCAAAATGACTGGGAATCAAAACAGAAAAAAATTCTAACTTTCCTGATTAAAAATTAACTTGAGGAATTTACAAAACTTAGCCAAAGAAAAGGTACAGACGTAAGGTACATATTTTCAGTATGCTATTCCATTTGTTTAAGGATTTTTAAAATAATTTTTTGTCAATTGAAAAATTATAGTTAAGTGTATACTACAAAGTTTGTGGATGTTAGCCTGTTTTTGTTTGTTTGTTTGTTTTTTTGTAGTTTTTCTCCAGGGCCGGGTTTGAACCTGCCACCTCCCGTATATGGGGCCGGCGCCCTACTCCTTGAGCCACAGGCACCGCCTGAATATGTATTTTATGTATACATATATGTATGCATTTTGTAAATACATATATGTATGCATGTATATACACACATGCATACATATATGTATTTACTGGGGGTGCCAAATGTGGATAGTTTTTTTTTTTTTTTCCAGTTTTGGCTGGGCCGGGTTTGAACCCGCCACCCCTGGTATACGGGGCTGGCGCTCTACTCCTTGAGCCACAGGCGCCACCCAAATGTGGGCACATTTTAAGAGATGTTATCTATGTATTTTCGTAGTTGAATTAGGGTAGCAATGTGTAGTATAATGTTTGCTCCAATGAAGCTATTAGTCACAAGAATGCTCACATACTATGGTGAGCAGCAGGGCTCTCTGAAGAGAAGTGGAAGTGGCATAGCCATACAGGTGGATGCTGGCCAGCGTTGCTCGGGTGGTAGTTCATTGTAATCAGAAGCATCTGACACTGATGGTAAGCACCTTGTAATTACAGAAGTCAAAGTGACTTGTATTCATCTTTTGTCATCAGCATATATTGAGTATTACAATTTTAACATAGTTTTTTCCTTAAAATATGAATGCATTTTTTAGCACTTTCTGTATATATATTATTTTTAAGAAATGGGAGTTTCACTATGTTGTCCAGGCTATATTCAAACTCCAGGATTCAAACATTCCTTCCTTCTCAGCCTCACTAGTAGCTGGGGCTAAAATCACACACCATGATTCCTGGTTTAATTGTTTTAATGTATGTAAGTGCACTTTTAAAAAATCAATTGGCATTAAAAAATCCAAAGCCTTTTTAAGATAAAAAACCCCACTAAACTAGGAATAGAACTTGTAGTATGATATAAACTATATATGTTAAAAGAGCAAAAGCTTTCTCCTTAAGACAAGCAGCCAAGACAAGGGTGTCTACTCTCAACATTTGTATTCAACATTTTACTGAGTCTAGCCAGAGCAATTAGGCAAAGAAAAAGAAAAGGCATCCAGTTGGAAAAGGAAGAAGTAAGACTATCTCTGTTTGCAAATGAAATGATGTTAGATATAGGCAATCCTAAAGATTCCACAAAAAAAAGTTAGAACTAAGGAATTTAGCAAGTTTGTAAGATAAAAGATCAATTGTATTTCTACATAATAGTTATGAACAAGCTGAAATTGAAATTAAGTAAGCTATTTACAATAACACCACAAAATAAATCTTTTAAACAAACCAGCCTATGCAACATAGCAAGACCCCATCTCTACAAAAAATACAAAAATTATCTGGGCATGGTGGTGCATGCTGTAGTTCCAACTACTCAGGAGGCTGAGGCAAGGAGGATAGCCTGAGCCAGGGGTTTTGAGGTTACTGTAACCTGTGATGATGCCACTACACACTGCACTCTAGCCCAGGCAATGGAGTGAGACCCTGTCTCAAAAAAAAAAAAAAAAAAAAGGCTTGTTCACTGAAACCTACAAATGTTGAAAGCTGTTAAACAAATGGGAAGGTATCCCACATTCATGGATTGGAAGATAATATTGTTAAGATGGCGATATCCCTGCTTTGATCTATAGATTCAACACAATCCCTATTCAAAATCCTTGCCAATTTTTTTTTTTCAGAAATTGATCTGCTTGTCCTAAAAGTCATATGGAAACATAAGGGACCCATAATATCTAAAACAATGTGGTTTCAAAATTTACTACCAAGCTTCTATGATCAAGACAGTGTGCTACTGGCGTAGGACAGACATGTAAGTCAGTGGAGTTAACGGGAGACGATTGAGAGACCAGGAAAAAAGGGTCCTGATATTTAAGGTCAATTGATTTTCAACAAGGGTGCCAATACTCACAATCATCTTTTCAACAAATGGTGCTGGGACAACTAGATACACAGATGCAGAAGAATTAAGTTGGATCTCTTACCTTCCACCATACACAAAAGATAACCTCCTGGATCATAGGCCTAAGTATAAGTGACCGTAGGTTTGGCAGTTCTTTCTTAGCTATGACATCAAAGCATAGGCAACAACAATAAAAATAAATGAACTAACTAAAAACATAAAAGTTATACATGCTACAAATAATTTAAGAGATTACTCAAGGGCCGGGCATAGTGACTCACACTTGTAATCCTAGCACTCTGGGAGGCTGAGGTGGGTGAATTGCTTGAGCTCAGGAGTTCAAGACCAGCCTGAGGAAGAGTGAGACCTCATCTCTAAAAATAGCCAGGCACTTGTGCAAAATAGCAGGACATTGTGGTGAGTGCCTGTAGTCCCAGCTACTCCGAAGGCTGAGGCAAGAGGATCTCTGGAGCCAGAGAGTTTGAGGTTGCTGTGAGCTGTGATGTAACAGCTCTCTACTGAAAGTGACAAAGTGAGACTTAAAAATTACTCAGATGGAAAACATTTGTAAATCATATTTCTGTTAAAGAACTTGTATCCAGAACATAAAAAGAACTACTAAAACTCAACAATATACTTCCTGGCAACACCAAAATGGACAAAGGGTTTGCACAGTATGTTCTCCAAAGAAGATACACTAATGATAATCAGCACATGGAAAGTCAGCATCTGTTCAGCGTGAAAATGTAAGTCAGAGCTACAGAGAGCCCACACCCACCAGGATGGCTGCAATTAGAAAGCCAGACAGTAGGCTCAGTGCCTGTGGCTCAAGTGGCTAAGGCGCCAGCCATATATACCTAAGGTGGTGGGTTTGAATCTAGCCTGGGCCCGCCAAACAATGACGGCAACCAAAAAATAGCTGGGCGCTTTTAGGGCACCTGTGGTTCCAGTTACTTGGGAGGCTGAGGCAGGAGATTCACTTGAGCCCAGGAGTTGGAGGTTGCTGTGAGCTGTGATGCCACAGCATTCTACCCAGGGGGGACAGGTTGAGGCTCTGTCTCAAAAAAAAAAAAAAAAAGAAGAAAGTCAGATGGTAAATGTTGTTGGGGAAGGAACTCTAGTCCACTTCTAGTGGGAATTTAAACTGCCACTGCCACTTTGGAAAATAGCCTGGCAGTTTCTCATGGTTAAACAGCAAGTCACATGACCAGCAGCCCCCACTCCTGCTTGAAGACTTGAAGACATGTCTGCAACATGTACACAAATGTTCACAGAAGCTTTATTTGTAATATCCCAAAGGAGGAAACAACCCCAGTGTTTATTAGCTAATGAGTGGGTAACAAAATGTGTTAGTCTCCATACAAGGAATATTATTTAGCCATTATTTAGACAGAAAAAGTACTGTCCATTCGATAGCAGGATTTTCCCTTAGCAACATTGTGCTGAGTGAATGAGGCAGACACAAAAGGCCACATGTCATATATGTCATTGTGTTGATATGCAGTGCCCATAATAGGCACTTCTATGAGACAGTAGCTAGTGGCTGCTAGGAGCTGGCAGGTGGGAGGAGGCACTAGAGAGTGCTGTTAAGACAGACTTTATTTGGGGGGGGTGATGGTCACACAACTCTGTTAATGCACTAATTTCACTGAATTGCATACTTTTAAAGTGTGAATTTTATTATGCAAATCTTGATAAAGTGTTGATTTTAAAAATAATGGTTGCTTTCAAAACTGATAGGACAGTTTTACATACGTCGTGAGGGCAATAAGCAGTGTGCGCTGCTATTATAATTTTTTTAATCACGTGTTAGGATTTAAAATGATTATTTTAACTTAATTTTGATAATGTTTAATGCATACAGCATACTTCCTAAGCTGTGTCACTGCCCCATAATTAAAATGACAAAATCAAACCCAAACCACTGCCCTGGCAGTGAGAGCCCATCCTGGGCAGAGGCAGGCAATGGGCGGGGAGAGCTCTTAGACACTGTCTTGTAAAGCAGCTGTCAAGCCTACCTGGGGAATTTATTACTTCTGTTAGTTTCTCTAGGGGGAAGACAACAGAATCTGTAGGCAAAAAAGAGAGACTTGAGGTGACATAGATAACTGCAGTCCCCTCTTTGGGCCTCTGTTTCAGGCTGAGTCACTGCCTGTGTGTGGCCTATGGATCTTCTCAGCCAGCTGGAGCTGAGGGCTTGGCTCCTGTGTCAACACAATTCTGGGAGCTCCTGAGTGAAGTATAAATTGCCTCCACTTCTGAGGGAGATTTGAGTACACTCCCTCGGGAGATTTTTTTTTTTTTTGGCATTTTATTTTTACAACAAGTTCTTTTCAGAAGTTTATTAGTATGTGGAACTCTATGAGATTCAATTTCCTTCTGTTCCTAAGATGATGAAAACAATAAAAGTATTAAATACATGAAATAATTTCACATTTCTTAAAACATTCCTGTGTAGATAGTATGGGGCCCCATGTTCCTCTTTGAGGGGTTATCTTGACTCAGAGTTTCTAAACAGCTGTGTATATCAGCCCCCCACCAAAAAGTTGTGTTCAGTCAAGAGTAGCCACTGTTTGACTCAGTGAGAAAAAACAAAGATACACATTATTCACAACACAGAGTAAAAACATTTATTTGAATATATCTAAAGTCCAGCACTATGTGACATCGTTCAGGGACACTTTCTAACTTCTCCCATTTTCTTTTCTGAGGGAGCTGGAGTTGATAGCGCCAGATTAAAAAAACATAAGTTTAACGTAAAACTGTTCCTGGTGATTTCCAATCTGTATATAATACTTTACAGATTCAATTAAATTTTTTAAATTAACTTCCAAGTTGCCTAACACTGTAAGTCAAAGGTACAACTTAAAAGTACCAAGTGCTGTCCAAATGGCACTGTCAGCATGAGCTGAGGTGAGACCCATACATGCATTCCACAGACCTCATGACACAAACGTGAGAAAATGGTAAAATCATAGCTTCAGATGTCATTCAAGCTAACTATATAAAATATACATTATAAAAACTGCTGCTAAAAAAAATGTAATTTGGAACATTCCACAAATGCATCACACATCTCATCTTTATGTTCTCAGACGACCTGTGAGCATAAACTCTGTGCTGAGAATGGACACACAGGAAGGTACCACAGCCTGACGCTGCTCCCTGGCCCTGCCTTATCCCTCTCCATGGATGAGTGACTCAGGATTGATTATACTGAGCCAAAAATGTCAGTTCCCTAAGTCCATGGGTGTGAATGGCAAGATTATTTCTAAAACACACAACAAAATTACCTTGAACATGAGAATCAGAAATTAAAGGCACAACATGGAGAAGACAGAAGCCTCTGGCTGCATGCAGCCCGCAGTGGCGCTTGACCACGTGTAGACAGGTCGGCTGCTCAGGATGGGCACTGTCATGTACCTTTACAGAGTAATTATGCAAGGAAATCCTTCAGTGCACAGGCTGTCTGTGCTGGTCACTACTTCCTGAGTCCCCTTTCCTCCTCTTTGGTGACAGTGAGGGACCCAGGAGGGTCTTCAAGACAGGGAGGCTGGCCCAAAGTGGGAGAAGAATTCTCAGGGAGATGCCAAAAGGGCCAATTTGGACAAAGTTGGCTAAAAGGATAAGAGAATTTTCTAAAATTAAAAAAAAAAAAAAAGGAATCAGATGTCTGACCTCAAAAGAGGCACTGTGCCTTTTCTGTGCTGCAGTAAAATCCTTCAATTTTAATCCAAGCTGCAGGCAAAGCTCCTGGAAGTGTACCTGTGATAAGCTTTGGCTGAATTTATTTTTGGTGGACAGAGAAAAAAAAAACAGACTAGTCCAAAATAGTGGACATGCTATAAGAAGAATTTTCCTTTCCTTTTTAACCCCAAACATTCTTCAGTTCAATTTAGCATTCTAATGAATGAGAATTTAGTTCAAATGATTTGTTCCAATGTGGTGTCAGGCATGAGTCACAGCAGCCTACAAGGCCTCATATGGAGTAGGTTTGATTTTGACTGGAAGCACCACAAGTCCTGCGACAGGGACACTCTGTCCTCTAGCTCTGAGGATTGGAGATTATAACTTCAGTGACTTCTCTTCTTTTGTGGGAAAAAGGTATACTTTGTAGGGTTAAACTCCTCCCAAATGCGTTCAAATTCTTCCAGAAAAAGCCTGACATACTCCTCGTCCTCCATGATCAGAACATTCTCTCTGTTGTTCTGAATGGCCTGTGTGGTCCAGTTGAGCGAACCAGTGATGAGCACCTTCTTGTCCACGATGGCAAACTTGTGATGCATGTAGCCCAGGTCCTGGTCGTGCCGAACCTGGATACCTGAGGAAAAGGCAGAGGGTTGTCTCAGTTCAGCACAGAAGTCCTGGCTGCAGGCTTTTCCTACAGCTGCTAATTCTGCTCTCTGTTCCCAGTCTGATGGGAAGGACTTCCCCAGGGGGCAATGGCTGGGCTCCCAGGAGGGACTCTGAGAACCGAGGAGAGCCAGGGCATGTAAGTGGGAAGCCCCAAGGGTGGGACAGCAGCAAGATCATGGGTCCCCTGCTCCTCAGCCCCTAGCAGATTCTGTCTCTTAACAATACTTGATTTCCTCTGGGGAGCAACCCATCTATCAACCCTGGGTTCTGGGTAAGAGCCACATGGTCATCAGCCCTGTCAAAGGTGATCAGAGCAAGAAAGTGCATG